TGGGGGGGAGGTTGGTTGAGTTCAAAATATTTTTGGCAATGGGTAGCAGTAAGTTCAAACCTTTACCAGCTCCTGTAACAGATCAAACTGAGTGAACTTTTCATTGAAAAGCTTAAATTGTTGGATAGATGAAACACATATTGTTTAATTCTGCAAAAATAATAAATGGAAAATCAAATATTGAGTTCTATTTTTAGGCTGAACTAGGATAGGGTCTATATGGGAATCATGAGAATGTCTTATTACTTTATATTTAGGCTATAAACAGTATAGCAAGTCCTATATATAACAACACCAATTGTTTGATAAAATTTGCGTTGTTATATTTTCCATTTCAATATATAACAACGTCAATTTTATCAAACAATTTGACGGGGCTTCTTTGATTTAGCCTCATGTCACGTGTAAAAAATTTGGTCTTATAGGTTTGATGGGTTCTATAGTTAACATGCAAAATATTGGGAGTTCCGAAAGTTTGATTGGCTCTTCCTTATCAGCAGGTCTGTGTTGTTGATACACACAACATACGCGCGCGCACACACAGAGACATATGTTTACTTGTGCTTTATGGAAGTAGTGATTGTTGAGAATATGGAGGGTTGGATTATTTAATCGTCAAGAAATTGATTGCCGTAGATGAAAATTCTGTTTCAATGTTCATAGACATCTTAGGTTTTGCTGGGAGAAACCACAAATAAGATAAAGCTACAAACAGCGGTAGATTTTTAGGGCTACTAATGTTACCGGTAAATACAGGCAATACTTTTTTGATAGTATTGGATCTTTTGTGCAGAAGTAAAACCTTTAATTTATAGCATGCATATTGCTGAAAAGTTCAGTTTGATTATTCAAAAAGGTTTAAGTTTTGCAAAATATTACTTTACTGGGCTTTGTAGATGAGTTATCAAGCTTCATTGGTTTGTAGATAACGGGATCAAAAATGGATTTTCTTTTACTCTAATCCATTGGTCCATAGCCTTATAAATCTTGTATACAGATGTGTTGATTTTGCCTTTTCTCTTATTTGTGACTTCAAAACATAGGATGCATTTGATTAGTTCCCATAAGCTTTTAGATTGAAGGAATGCGGATCGATGGCGATGATGCCTTAACATTTTTTATTCATCAATATAACTAATGGATGACATTAAGAAAATATGACAATATATTATGTTCCACTCAAGCTATTAGGTTGACTGAATGTCACTCAAGTTGATGTTTCCTAAGTGTGCTACTCCATAAGCATCTCCTACCTTGGCTTGAATGTGCGCAAGGGGAATATTTTTGAACCTGCTATGAAAAGGAAACACTGCTAGTACATGTTATGCTGTAAATTGCAGAATTGAATAAATGATGCATGTTTTTCTGCATTGCTGCTTCCAAGCTATTAGTCTGTCAACAGAACTTCTCTATAAGTCCGTCACCTACTACCTCAAAGTTGAAGGTTGATTGGTGAGTAAATGCATGTAAAAAGAAAAAGGATTATCAAGGGGCATATATTTCGGGACTTGATATCATTTTGAAGGATGGAGCCATCTGTTCTGCTGCAATCATGGAGAGCCCTGCTGCAACTTGTTCTCGTAATATGAAGCAAAAACTTTAACTGTTGAATTGAGCAGTCATGTGTGTGCTTATTTACCTCCCACCACCATTCTCCTGCTTTCCCTCAGGTTACATTAAAGTATTTCCTGTTGTTGAATGTGAATGTTATCGTGCAGGATCACATAGTCCAACAGAAGTTGAAAAGGGAGTGCTATGCAAGAAGGAACTCAATGGTGAGAGAGAGAAACATCTTGAGGAAATCAACTCCCTCAGTAGAAAGAAATTTAAGGAAAGCACTAGAGGTAATGAAAGATTTAGACATTCCTCTCCATGAAGTAAGCTATATTAGCCATCTTATATAACTTTGGTTGTGCAGGAGTGGCATTGAACCTAAAAAGGAAGCTGTGTTTGGAAGATTCTGGTCTGTTGAAGAGAATAAAAACATATGAATGTGATTCAGGTAATTTGCTACAATGGAATAGGCTTAATTATGTCTTGTATCTCAATTCCGTGGACAGTAGTATCCTATCTCTTCATTTCTACTCAGAATGATTGTTTCTGGTGTAACTTCAGGTATAAGAGAGAGAGAAGTTGATTTTCATAAGGCTATTTCAGATAAGCCACTTGTATGCAGTTTGGCTAGTGAAAAGCTGAAAAGGATTAGAGATGATGAGATGGTTGTAACTGCCCTTTTCAAGAGAATAAGATAGTTTAACCAAATACTGACTGTGTTAGCAGGTTGTATATTGAAGGCATTGTTACCATTGTACTCACACCTGTAAATCCTTGCTAGTGGGTTAAAGTAGTTGATGACAAAATTTTAATGTGGGAAAAGCCTTTCTTGAGTTTGTCAACGTAGATTATGACTTGTCCTTTGTAGTTTTTGACAGGGGTGTACAAAGGAAACCGACAAACCGAATCAAACCGATAATCCGAGTCAAACCGAGAAAAAAAACCCGACTATGGTTCGGTTTGATTTGGTTTGGTGTTGGGATTGGTTTGGTTTTAACTAAAAAAAGTCAAACCGAAACCAAACCAACCTGACATTACATGTATAGAAGTTTTTAATATATTTAATATATAAAAATATTTATTGTAGCGTAGTTTATAAATATTTCTTAAACTTTTTCATAGTTTTATCTTTTAACGTATTATTTCAAGCTTGGAATTATAATTTTTGAATACTCAAATAAGTTTTATAGTCCATAAATATTAGTAACTCAAAGAAATCCCAAATTAAAATCAAATCAATACTAATGCTAACAAAAGAAATTCAATTTAATTGTACTAGAAATGAGAATAGTGTTGGATATCTATTTTTTGGTTTTTTCATAGTTTAGATAAAATGTATAATAACTTATTTTTTTTAGTGTTAAGTCATGTAAATAATAGTAGTACTTATTAGTCGTACTTATTTTAACAACTTAGTAATTTTAGATTGTGTTCATTTTTATTATGGTTTATTAATAATATTTATTTTATGCGATTTTATTATCTTTATTGTTGAATATTTTAGTACAATGCCATGAATATTTTATGTCATTTTCTCGAAAAATACCTTATTTAGTTCTGTCTTACTAGGATTTAAAGAAATATTTGGAGCAGAAATTTTATGTTTTATGCTATGAAGACTTTATGAAGGGAAAAAATGGAAAAATCCGAAAATTCGAAAAAATCGAGATTAAAAAATTCGACTTTTATTGGTTTGGTTTGATCTTTAGATTTAATAACCTGGCGCAATTGGTTTGGTTTGGTAATTAAAAAATCTAAACTAACCCGACTTATGTACAACACTAGTTTCTGATAGGTGAGATGGCTTTTTCCTTTTCTCGATGCCTACATTATTCACCATATAATTAAATTTGTAGTATTTGAAGACCACATTACCACCTGCCGTTGTGGTATTTAGCCACTACATTTCAGACGCAAATCTTTTTTTTCAAAAGTTTAAATTTATTTAATAGAGCAAGAGGGTACTTGTCTATTTAACCTACCTTTCGAAACATTTCTTAGTTACAAGTTGTGGTGGAAAAATGAATTAAAAAAATAATTATCCATTCATATTATCCGTTAAGAAATGAATGGTATAATAAACTTTTTAAAAATGAGTCAAATAAGGATAAGATACTATCCACTTAACCAATGAATAACCAATTGGTTTTAACTTTTATATTTACAAAGACTAAAATTGAGAATTACTCAAATTTGAAAGAATAAAAATTCTCCCAAAAGTAATCATATTCAAAAAGATATGGATAATATGAATACTCATATTATCTACCAGTTAACACATTTTCTATCCATCTTAAATATGGCTCAGGCCGGATATTTTATCCATTTTCTGTGTTACTGTCTTCGATCCGCCAACATCCGGCCCCGCCCATTTGTCATCCCTAGTTATAAGGGTCAGAAGATACTGGTACCTGATAATAAAAAAGTAGGGGATGCGAGATACGGGAACATACATAAATTAAAAAAAAAAAAAAAGGGAACTCGACATAGTATACCTATCCTAACCTCATTAGCACTACGGTTTTCAGTTCTTCAGCAATCACTCAGAGGGACATGTAAAGCTAAAAGCTAAAAGCTAATCGTACACAAATGCGGTTGACAATTAATTGAATGATACAATGCTCAATCCTACATAAGGAAGCTTGAGGTTGATTCATAAAATCTATGCTATTAGTCCCGTGGAATCATGCAACATATTGTACAAAACCTCTTTATGTAGCTTCATTTGGAGGTTATCCAAAGTACTGCCAAGCAGCAGCAATACCCGCCACCAGTATCACTCTGAGAATCAGCTTATAACTGACTTTTGATGATGACAATGTGGACGATTTCGGTGGTTCCAGCGGTTTTCCCCTCAATTTAGCTGATAGTTTGGACAATAGCACGCCTATTGGACCACTGTCCTTGGTAGCTGCAACCAGGCAGAAACAAACATCAACATCTGAAACACACTTTATTGCCCAATTGTTATATCAACCAACTTCATTTAAATTAGTTGGTGTAAGTTATATGGAGCATCTGTCTCTTTCTTGTTCATTTCATTCTGCTGCTAAATAAAACAAACATCAAGATCAATATCTGAAACTTGAACTCGACCAATATCAACAACGTTCCCACATCAAATTAATAGTGGTAAGCTATGTGAATTCGCTGCGTTCATTATGTTGTATCCATATCCATTCCAGTAATACATAGTTTGTCATTTAAGGAAAATAAGGATTTTCTAGGACTACAGATTCTCCAATCCCACCCTTTAGCCCTACACTGACATATAAATATTGACCAGAGTAAGAATAAGCTTGGCAAACACCAGCACGGTGTAAATGAAACAACAACAATAAGCCTTAATTCCAGCAAGTTGGTAATATATCCTTTTTTATCAGGTAGCAAGTTGGTAAATATCTTTTGCTTTCATTACCAGAAACTTTAAAGATATTAAGACAACTGAGTGGAGTAAAATATACATCCATGCAAATCCAACTGAGAAAGACTACTTTCACGGTTTCACCATCCAGTAGAATCCCAGTGAGCTGTGCACTCTACTTATCAGAATTAAAGCAACATGATAGTTATATTCCCAGAGAGAAATTTACCTTTACTTTTCAGAAGCCTCTCCTCCTCTTCGACACGCCTACGTAACGCATTAAGAAGTGATCCAAAATATAGAGCAAATACAGTGCATGTAATTGTGATGACATTGTATGGCATGCTAAAATCAGGAGTGGTCAAGGGTACAAGCAATACTTCTGTGTACCATAGAACAGGGCTTTCTTCCTGGAAAGAAATAGATGCTCAATAGGATGCAATGCATATTCATTACAATATCATATTACATAACAATACCAATTGGTACCTGTAGCTTGGATATGAGAGGTGACTTGCAAGCAGATTTATCCTCAAATAAATGCAGCTTTGTTTTGATCTCGGGAAACCTGATTAAAGCTGATGGAATGTCAAAACCCTGATTAGCATCTGGAGGATACTCATCGATGTGAAGAAAACCCTGTGAAGAAATCCAAAGAAATAAAGGTAAAGTTAAACCGGTCGATCACTGGTGCTAATATGCATCATTTTGCTTTCTGCCTGTTCCATTAGATTCAAAATAATCTAGGACCCACATATACCTTGGTCAATTCCACAGAGATATAGAACAAGAAATTGGAAATAGCACCGTTTCGGTTTACAAATAACCATCCCTGGCCCAAACAGCTTTACAAGATAATCACACAAGCAGATAAAAAGTAGTTTAAAAATTTAAGACTACAGAAAGGCTGAACAGCATCTGACATCAAATCAACTTATAAGGTAGTTTGTCTTTACTTCAAGTACAAATATTCATGTGAAGCCAGATTTGCCACAATGAATTATGTCTATACTTGCAAATTTTCCATACAGATACTCCAAATGAGTCATGTTTATACTCTATAATTACCAATCTCCTATACAATAAGTCCCAAAATGAGATGATTAGATAGCTCCTTATCAAGAAAATAAAAAATATATATATTGAGATAATTAGATAGCCATCCTAGCTGACCATTGTTCTTTAGTACACCCAAAATTACATATCAACAAATTTATTCTAGATAAACTGGAAAAGGCAATACATACCTTATCAAACTCCAATGTCAATATCACCGAGTTCACATCACAGGGAAATCGCAATGCTATTTCCATTAGCCCAGGAGAAACCTTGTCTTCAGAAGGCGAGACATTTGTCCTTTCTACGACATCTGCTAAACTATGCAGACGTTCATCCAGATACACTTTGAGCGTGTGGAAATAAACCTTGACATACCAAGGCACAACTTGGAACACATCAACGCGTAACGAGCATCTTCCTTCCTCATCTTCAGAAGAATCGGTATACTCACTTCTTCCTACAGATTTCAAGGAGATGGCTATTGCACCCCTTTCATTCCCACTTCCCATAAGGAACCTGCTAGCCTGATAAGGTGCCAGTTGAGATGACCAAGTCACGGGACGCTTCCACCTGAACTCCAAGTCAAATGGCCTTGAATCACTGCTATTTGCTAGAGAATATTCATATAGAAGGGATGACTCCTTGTGAAAGCCATAAACTTCTTTAACTACCCTAACTGGGGAATCAGACATTTCAAAGCTCATGTCACTCCAAGCTTGAGATATCAAATTCTTAACATCAGATTCTTGTTGCATCTCTGAAGTACTCTTCAACTCTGACACCAAATTTGGCTCTAATTGGACATACACATTACTAGTATTTGAAAGAACACACCTTCCACTAACTTTTCGTCCAAACAACGAGCTCAATGACCAACTTGGCTGTCGTATTGAGCCAACAGATGATGTCATGCCACTTCCTAAAGTAACCGGTTGAAGAACAACGGTAAGTGTCTGTTCAAGCACCATTCCGGAACTTGCTTCAGCTAGATCAAATTCATTCGAGACCAAATGCAATCTCTGAGAGTGATAAAATCCTCGGTAGATAGAAGGTCTGTCCATCAATGCAGAAAGCCCAGCTTTGTCTCGGCAAGGAAGCAACTTTAGCCATGGAGTGAGGTTCTCTGTGCAAACAGCCTCACGGGGCAATGTGCCGTACCTGACATTTGTAGCAAATGACTTGAAGCTCCACTGAGGAGCAGAATATGCAGTTGATGACTCTAGGAAGTTAATGGAAGCACAAAAGAGCCCTGAAAGAGCATGGGTTAAATTTCTCCAAGAAGCGTCGACCTGATGTTGTGGAACATCAAAAGTAGCCCACAGTTCAACTCCAGGTGGTTTCGCATTTCTACTTGAAATGGGGTCGTATCCACCCCAGCGTCCATAATTCCAGCGACCTTGTGTGAAGGACAGCTCCATTTCTCGAACTCTAAA